CCAAATGGCCGCCCAGTCTGTGATCGTCTGCTCACACCTTTTTCCCCAAAGCAAATGCCAGGCTTGTTAGAACCCTCATTTACATTTCATTAGGAGGTGTCAGGCTGGGTGTTAAAGAACAGAGCTGTTCCCTCCCGGAATCAGGGTAGCACTCGGCAGTAATTCTCCAGCCACCACCTCAGGGGACTCACCTCCCCTTCCCAAATCAGAGCCTACAATCATAGGAACCAAAATACAGCCTCCATTTACTGTGCGTCGCGTTCAGCACTGGGCCCTTTGCCCATGTTTTTGCCCGTTCTCAGAACAAACCTGAGAAGCGGGTACTATCATCTCCGTTTTGCATGAGAGGAAACCAAGGCCCAGAGAGGTAAAGTGACTACTCCAAGGCCACACCGCTAGGATATGGCAGGGCTGAGCTTAGGCACACCCGTCAGCCTGCCTCCAAAGTTCATGTCCTTTCAGTTTTCCAAGCTGACTCCCGTCTGAAGGGGGCTCAAGTGTGATACTTGCCTGCATCAGAAGATCTTAGTGTGGACTCTTGAAATATGAGAGAGAGGGAGGGAAGGAGGGAGGCTGTGTGTGTGTGTGTGTGTGTGTGTGTGTGTGTTTGGGAGATGTTCCTATGCTTTCATCAATTTCTTAATCCCCCCCCCCCCCAAATCATGGAGCTCAGTGGTGGGGTTCTTGTCTCAGAAGGCACCATGTGAAATTGCCAAGGTGTCCCTCACCATTCTGTGGGAACACGGAGACCTCTATGAGATACATGCCTTCTAGAAGGAAAGTGCCACACGGCTAGTCTTCTACCCTGCCACAGAGGGCATAAATAGTTGGGAATCTCGTGGAGCAGAGGCGCCTGTGGCTTTACGTCAAAGGTAGGGACCAGGGGCTCAGAGAGGAGGGGAAAGATCCTGTTCTTTCCTCTTTATTCCTGGGGGCTGGCAGAGACGGAGCGGTGAGCGGACTCGAAGGGCCGCGCCGGGCCTCTCCTGCCCATCCTCGAAAGCCAGTCTCTCCTCAGGTTCGTAACAATTTGTGCTTTATCCCATTTCCGCACGCAAAATGTGTTTCGGCATTTTTCATTAGATTTTTAAGGCTCAGATTGATGAGGGCGAGGTGAGAGCCAGACACGGGGGTAGAAGAGACAAAAGTTTAGTAATGAGTTCGAAATTTACAAAACACAGAAGCCAATATGGCTTCAATACACGATGTGACCCTTTCTAAGGCTGGAAATTACTCTTCCAAAATCATTCTGGCCTGACTTCAGAGTCGAGTGGATGCTGGGATACCACAGATTGACTTTGAGAAGTGGGTTGGCATTGCAAGAATTTTTTAATTTCCTGTAACTCACAACAATTTTCTCCCAGCGAGACTTTAGAATCACCCCTGCAATGGTGCGTCGACTGCATTTTCTGAAGGATCTGCTGCCCGAGCCGGCTCCTGCTCGAAGAGAAAACCCACGGAAGGCACGCCACAAATGGGATTACCTGCAGAAAATCGTTAAAACGTTCAGAAAATGTTCCCAGGTAAATGAAGGAGCAGCTACATAAGCTTCTAGGTTTCAAAAAGCCCAGCAAAGATGGCATCCTTTACACTTTCTGAGCTGAAAAGAATTTGGGAGAAGCAGATTATTAGTAATGATTTTTAATAGCTTCTTAATTAGGCCTTCAAACGAGTTTTTCAAAATCCCCAAAGGTGTCCAATTTGCATGACGTGTTTTTACTTTTCTGTGCATTTCATTAGCGGGCCCCCCACAACTTTAAAAACCTAACAGCAAGACGGCATTGCAATGATTTCAAAAAGGTGGACAAAAAAAAAAAAAAAAAAAAGAGAGAGAGAGAACTTAATTATTCCTCTAAAAAAGTCTCGTGCGTCTTCTTCCGGTTCAGCGGGGTCCCGCCTGTATCTCGGGCCACTCATTACAGCTTATCTGCCTTTCACAAATCACTAAACAGATCGGCGAGGGGGAAGGTGGTTGTGGAGGTTGGGGTCTGCAGGAACAGAGCCGCAGGGGCGGGGAGGTATCGGGCTGACGACCCCTTCTTCTTTCCAACAGCAAATCCATTACAATAATGGGCTTGGGAGCCATCAGTGGGCGAACAAGCGGGTCAGGAGGATCTCGACGTGTGGACACTGAGCCATCCGCACTCGGCTGCTTTTTACAATGTGTGAAGCGAGGCAGAAAAGCGGCACATTTGATTGAGAACAGAGGAGAGGGGCCGAAACCAGCCTCGCCTTTGCTCCGGTTTCCGGTGGGAGGTTGCGGGGGGAGGGGGGGTGGATTTAGGGCCGGGGAGCCCGAGACCACACTTGGCAGCTGAGGGCGTGGGGCTAAACGGTGGGCCTGAGACCCGGAAAGAGAGGAGGGGGAGCTCATTAATGTTTGGCCCTGTCTGCCCCCGCGCTCCCCCTTTCCCTTCCCCCACCCCTGCTGCCGACACGACGGCCGTAAGAACAAATAGCAACAGTATCTAGAACTTGCTTACCATGTGCGAGGTCTTGTGCTAAGTCCCCGGCTTGAATTTTCTCCTCTTTGCCCTGGCATCAGAATAAGCCCTGGTCTTAGCTCCATCTCACAGATGATGAGAATTTAATAGCTAACTTGTTAAGAACTTACCCGTGCGGCAGGCCCTGTACTGTATGTGTGTTAAGTCCCTGAATCACCGCAACACCCCGGGGGGGGGGGGGGATTGGTTCTCTTGTGCCCATTTAACAGCTGGGGAAAGGGAGGCCCAGACCGTGGGCACACAGCTGGTGAATGGCAGCGATGAGATTTGAGGCCCGGCAGTGGGACACCACCTGCTGTCCTTCAAGGCCTCCTTCCTGCCAGGAAGGCTTCCCATGGATCTGCATTTCTCTTGTTCTCGGGCCCTGTTTTGTGATATGTGCCGTCTTCGGAGATTACGAAGCCCCCGGAGATCAGGGGCCGTGTCCTTTCCCCACGGTATCGGCAGCATTATTCATCCAGCCCAATGTCAGGCATGTAGGAGGTATCTAAGACACATTTGTTGAACGAAGCGTATAATCCAAAAGCAGCTTTACTTCTGAACGTGAGCGTTGGGTCGGACTGTACTTTATCACATATGACGTTGTTAGGAGCTAAGGGACGGGTGATTCGTTTTTTTGGTGTCAACTCGATGGGGCCAAGTGACGTCCGGAAAGCTGGTGAAACATTATTTCTGGCTGCGTCTGTGAGGGTGTTTCCAGAAGAGGTTGGTGTCCGAACCGGCACATGAGTAGACATGATTGCCCTCATCAACGTGGACACCATCCAGTCTGTCGAGGGTCAGAATAGAATAAAAAGGCAGAGGCGGGGGTGAATTCGCTCTCTTGCTTGAGCTGGGACGTACATGTTCTCCTGCCCTTGGACGTCAGTGCTTCTGGTTCTCAGGCCTTTGGACTCAGATTGAGACTCACCGCGTTGGCTCCCCAGGCCTTGGGGTTTGTACTGGGCACACTGGTTTCCCTGCACTACCGTTTGCAGAAGGCAGATCATGGGCTTTCTCAGCTTCCAAAATCGCATGAACCAATTCCTATAATAAATCTCTCTCTCTCTCTCTCTCTCTCTCCCTCCCATATGTGTGTGTATACACATACACACACACACATGCATGCATCTATATAGTCCATTGGTTCTGTTTCTTTGGAGAACTCTAATATAGGGCCCGATATTGCTTATTAGATTCAAGGTGATTCGTCTTTTTTTCTTACCTACTAATGGAAACTTCTCTTCTGGAGTCACGCTCATTAGCACTCAGAGTCTGCCGTGGCAAATCTTTCCAAAATAGCCCCAAGTATATTTGTGGGAGGGAAAGAAGCTAAGTGAGGTACAAACATATTAAGGCTCAGCATGTGGCGGGGCCTTGAAATAAGGCAGGGGGGGCAGTGGCGGCCTCTTGCCTCTGTCCTGGAGTGAGGATGGGGCATGCCAGGCCCTAGAAGGGTTGGGTAGATTTTGTGTTTAGTGGGAGAGCAGCGAGGAGAACCAAAGAGGAATGAGTCAAAGTCAGGTGGAAATTACACGGTGTGGGTTTGTCTGTTTCCTTCGGGGCTCTCTCCTCGTTCATTTTATTTTATTATGTACACGTTTTCTTCATTTTCTCACCTTAATTTGTCCACCAGCCTTTGAGGTAGATATTATTCCCATTTCGCAGATGAATAAATTGAGACCTAGAAAGTGTCATTCCAACTGCAGTCACACAGTAAACTTGGATTCGAATCCAGACTTCCCGATGCAGAACCCACGGACCTCATGATGCCACTGCTGTTGCTTTAAGCCTCCTGGTTCTACCCTTTCTTCAGGAACGAGAAGGGATGCTGGAGGCTTCTGAATGGGTCCAAAATGTCACACGCTCCCCAACTGGGTTGGCTGCCTAAACACCTACCAGATAGCTGACATTTTACTATTAAGGAGATGCCTTAGGGTTAAAATATCGTCCACGGTAGTTTCTTGCTACAAGACCCAACAGAAATGCTCTGGACTCTGTTGGCAGATATAGTCAAAAGCCCGAAAAGGGGAATAATGAAATCTCCCTCAGAGGGTCATGTAATAATTAAATGAAATACCGAACGTAAAACTCTGGCACGGCGCCATCATCATCGTCATTATCGTCACCATTGTCACCGTCACCACTGTCGTCATCATCATCATCACCATTATCAGCATCATTGTCACCGTCACCACTGTCACTATCATCCCGGTCATCGTCGTCACTGTCATTGTTACTATCATCACCACCATCACCTGTGTCATCACTATCATCATCATAGTCATCGTCACCACCATCATCACCATCACCACTCTCCACATCACTGTCACCAGCATCGTCATTGTTATCGTCATCGTCGTTGCTATCACCTCTGTCATCATCACCACTGTCATAGCCATCATCATCATCACTGTCATCTCCATCACCACTGTCATCGTCATTGTCATCATCAACATCGTCATTGTCATGACCACTGGCATCATCATCATTGTTATCATCATGTCACCGTCACCACCATCATCATCATTGTTGCATCACTACTGTCATTGTCATCATGATCATGACCATCGTCGTCATCACAACTGGCATCATCATCGTGGTCATCATCGCTGTCATCAAATGTCACCTTCTACAACCAGATGTCCTGACCATTCCACCAAGTAAGTCCCTCCCTTATCATGTCAGCCATGTCTCTTTCATTTGCATATGTGTTTGTTTACTAGCTGTCTCTCACAGCAAAATGTAAATTTCATGAGGGCAAAGATCATACTATTTTGCCCACTACCTTGTGCCCAGTGCTTGGCTCCGTGTCTGAAAGGAGGTTGCGGGCGAGGAAATGAGCTCAGAGAGGAGAAGTGGCTTGCTTAAAGCCACACAGCAAGCAGACAAGGTAAACCTGACCCCTGGTCACCACCCTCCCCAGTAATTACACCTGCTTCTGAGGGCCATTTAGATTGTTGAGGAAACTCAATGAAATAATCGTGTAGGCAGCTCAACACAATGCCTCATCGCTGGGCCTCAGTGACGATCGGTAGTAATGATCTCTGGTGTTACTATTATGTTGTGACTCCCTCCTCTCCTGCGAAGAAACTCTGAGCCCACAGTTGGGTCCTCTATGGGGCCAGACTCTGGGAAGATGGTGGCTTCATGATCTGGAATCTTCTCTTGCCCCACACTTCTTTCCCATGCCTTCTGCCTACCAAGTCCCCACCCTCGTCCCCACTCTGACAAAAGTGCTTCTGGAAAAAGGACTCAGCACCAGGTGAAGAAACCCTACAGGGCATCTCAGCTCCTGCCCTCTTTTCACCAACAATATACTGAGGCCCACAGAGGTTAAGGACTCGGCTACACTCACATCGCTCATCGGAAACAGAACCCTTGGTGTATATTGTCACTGTGCCTCTACTCTCCAGAAAAATCCATCATGTCTAGGGGCAAAAATACCATGGGTCCTACCAAAACAGTGGTTCTTGATCCGGGATGGTTTCTCTCCCCAGGGGACATCAGGCCACATCTGGGACATTTTTAGCTGTCACAACTCTGGGGATGGGGGTGGGGTGGGGTGGAGGGGGGGATCTGCTACTGTCATTAGGGATAGGGGCAAAGGGTGCTGCTAAAAACCCTACATTGCTCAGGACAGCCCCCATAACAGGGATTCTCCTACCCCAACTGTCAATAGAGCTGAAATCGAGATATCCTGTACTAAATGAATTTCAGAGATGAGAAGGGAAATTCGTTCCGGGGTCAACCATTCTGCTCCCCTTGGAAGAGACAGAATAATAACGACCCAGACCAGGAAGTCTATTTTACAAAGGCAAAGGGCTATCACAAGCATTGTTTGATTCAAGGCTCACAATAACCCCCAAAAGATAGATACGATGATACTAGTACCGATATGGAAACAGAGACTCTGAGAGCAGGTAAGACCCTCCCAGGGTCACAGACGCCGGAAGTGGGCGGGGGCAAGGCCGGAAGCCAGATCTTCCGATTGCAAGGCCCTTGTCATCGACACTCCAGCTTCTCCCGGTTCTGCGGCCAGGCCCTGGGACGAGAGCCGCCTGAATCTGGGGAAGGAGGGACCCGTGACCGTTTAGATGAGAGACAACCTCCCCGCTACCTAAAATAAATTAGGCACTAAATCCCACTTCACTGGGTCTCGCTGATCAAAGGAAAGGATCATCAGGAAAAACAAATCCTGGGGCTTGGGAACCACTTCAGCATGAGTGTGAAATTTTAACCGAGAGTGTTCCGCTGGGCAGATGGGCGGCAGTGAGCGAGGGCGGTCTGCTCGCGGCTGACACCAGTTGACAAGTTTGTGGACTCTGGGGATGATCCGACAACTTGCTCAGAGTGGAGACTATGTTCGGTTTCTCCTTGAGGAGAAAACAGTCTTCTTGCTGCCCGTCCCCAGGTGCCTACAGGCAGTGCGTAGCTGATTTTCCAGCAGAACTGGCAAAGGACCGCGAGCTGCTGCCTCCCAGCTCCTGGCACTGGGGTGACCAGGCCCAGAGGGGCCTGACTTAGTCAGAGGGTTCGTAACGTTCCGTTCTGTGAGGTCTTCTGCAGAAGCGAAGGGTCAATCCCGTGCCACCTTCTCTTCTTCATCCTCACGCTTTGCCAAAAGACTTCCATGTGCGTGCAGATTGACTTTGAGTGTAATTACAACTGGTCTTATGAGGCTAATTGAGTCATTATTTGCCGAACACCTGCCCTGTGCTGGAGATGCAATGGTGAGCAAACCACACAGGACCCAGAACTCACGCAGGTTATCATCTGAGATGTGGGGAGGGGAGGGTGGATACACAACCAGTATGTCACAGGTGACAATGGCATCGTGGAAGATAGATCTACTGGTGGCTAGAGCATCAAGGAAGGCTTCCCGGAGGAAGGGACATCCAAGCTAGCATTTAAAGGATGTCTAAGAGTTTGCCAGTCAGAGTAACTTATCCTACCCTTAGAACCTCTTCATTCAAACCCCTCCGTTAAGGTTCTCAGAGCACAGGACAGGGGACCACTGGGTGGTGTGGGCAGAATGGCTTCCCCAGATGAGCTGAAGTTTCCTGTAATTTCTCCCAGAGGCCTGGCTTGGAGTAGAGGCACGTATGTGAACAGAAGTAAGATTTTGCTCATTTATCCACGGGCCAGTACAAATAAACCAAGCACCTACTGTGTTCCCGGCACCATGCCAGGCAGGCCCTGGGTTTGCAGAATGAGGAGCGCCTGTGCAGCTGGGGGGACAGATCACGGGATGATTAGAACACAGAGGGAGGTGGCACCCCTAGCGTCTACATGGGCACTTTTCCTGCTCTTAAATATGTGTATGTAGTAAAAGGCAACGCATTTATCAAGGAATGAAAACGTTAAGTAGTAAATGCTGGTAAGTAACAAGTAATAGTCACTAGCTAATGCTGTTCCCTGAGCCTAGATTCTTTTCCCCCCACTGAGTGGCCTGCTTTGCCCCTTCTTGAGTGCAGGTCTCTCTTGGGTGAAGCTTTCCAAGTTCCTCGGCCCTCACCCTGGCCCTCCCGCAGCCTCCGCGGCAGATAGCACAGATTGCCATCACACGTTTGCGTCGTTACTAATCTACGTCAACCTCCCTCATGAACCTGCAAGGTTCTCGAGGGTAGAGACGGATTCTGTTTTGCATCCCCAGGGATGCCTGGCATACAGCAGGTGCTCAGTACGTGTCTGTTGGATGAATAAATGATACATCGACACTGCGGATATGACCACGGTGAGGACGTTGAGTTGTTCAGCCTCCTTCTCCCTAAGAAACCATTCAACGTATTCTGAGACTCCCCTTGCCTTTAAACCTTCTAAACATTCCTACAGGGCTGGTGTGAACCGCTCCGATCTTCGGGTGACGAGATCAAGGCCTGACACTCCGGGTTCACCTGTCAGCGGGGCTCAGCTGGGCTGAAGATGCCACTTTCCTCTAGTTGGTGAGTTCTGTGCTTGAGCGGCGTCTTAGAATCACCCGAGGACCTTTGAGAAATGCCAGTGTCCGGGACATACCCCCAGAGATTGCGATTCAGTTGCTGGGATGGACCTCGGCATCCGTGTTGTTACAGCGCTCCCAGCGGATTTCCATGCATGGCTTTGGTGGAGGACACAACTCGAGCTACAGCCAGAGAACCAGAGGGCTGGGCTCTACTTGAATTTTACCTAGGAGGCACCAGAAGCTCAGAGAGGGGTAAATCTCACGGAAGGTCACACAGCAAGTGGGAAGCCCAGCCTGGATGAGCCCTCTAGAGTGCCTATGGGGCTGTTTCCTTGGGCACGGGGAACTTTCTCTTGAAACCCCTCAGCCCGTCAACTCGAAGGCAAGACACCTTTTAGACAGAGGGAGGGTGGCCACCCAGGCTGAGCCTCGGAGCCCCTGCACCCTGCCCACCCTGATGGAGGGACAGCCAGAACTTCCTCCAGGCTCACAGATACCTCTGTCTCCCTTGCACTCTGTGCCCTCACGACCCCTTTGTTGGAGCATGGCTGCGTCGCCGTGGCCCATGATGGAGCTGGGGCCGCTTGGGGACAAGAGACCATCTCTGAGTCTGGAACCTAGTCATGGGCAGCCTCTTCTGGATTTGAGTTTCTGGAGCCTTGTGGAGAAAAGGCCACACTTCGCAGCCCACGGAAGCGAGGAGAGGCCTCAGTTATCTGCCCCGGCATACCCATTCCTGGCGGAGGATTAGAACACTCCCGCCCAAGTGGGACTCCATGATGGATGTCGAGAAGCAACCAAATGTCCCTCATTAATCACCAGCCCCATCTGGCTCCCCGCCTGATGGTTTTCAGCTGACTTGAAAAAGACCCAATTAGATGAAAACATTTTGACAATTTATCTTGTGGCATGAACAGGTCCAGATTGAGGCTATGATTTCATCACTGGGGAGGGAGGAAGGGATCGGGATGTGGGTCACGCACAGAGCTCGGGGGGACGTGGGGGTCTCCCCCAGGAGCCTTCCTGTGAACCAGAGTGCAGTCCGCCTCCCGCTGGCTGCTGGCCGTGTCAGTCCCGGGGCCGGCCGGAACCGCAGGAGGAAGAGCATCCTTTGGTTCGGGTGGAAAAGGCCCAAGAAAATGGACAATCGGAAATAGTCGAGCAGCTCGGCCTGCGGGGGGGTTGAATGGGAAGCAGAAGTTGGGATGTGACCAAGGCCGGGCCTGGTCCAGCCCTCACACGAGCGAGGTGCCTGGGGACCCAGCCCAGAGACAGGTGACTCAGATTTGGCCTCCTTGAGGTGTGCCTGGCAGAGCCCCCTGAGATTCCCACACCCTCCTTGTAGAGCCGGGAACGTGCCAGTGTCTCCGGAATGGCCCATCCACGGCGGGTGATTGTTTCCATGAGATCACGGCTCTTCGTTCTTCAAAACCGTGTTTCCAGCCGCCTTGAAGGTCCTTGTGGGTGGCTCGCCAGGAAAGCCCCCGGCGGGCTACCTGCCGCCCCTTGAAACTTGTTCATGCCCTCTCTCCTCTGCACGGGGAAGCTGCCTGAGGACCGGAAAAGCAAACCAGGGTGTCTCTCCCACCAAGTTCATGTCTGCAGCCCGCAGGCCGACAGGAGGTATGCTTGCACACGGTGGGGGTGGGGCGGGGGGCGGGATTTACCTCTCTGGGCAGGACTTCTGCCGGTGGCCAGCCTGCCAGGCCCGGGAGGGCCTCTAGTAGGCCAACCTGCCGCTCGCACTCTGGGAGGCGGCCTGCGTGGGGACCTGCCCTGTGACTTGCCGGGCAGGGCTGGCAGGGAGATGGGCTTCTCCTCCGGAGCTGCTCGCCCCACTCGGCACTCACCCCTCCCTACCCAGCAAGCACCCGGCACACGGACGCCCCACCCCCTCACTTGCACGGGTCGAACCGGACTCTTCTCTTTCACGGCTTGGTTTGTTGCAGTTCGGCGCGTACGTGCGCGCATGCACACACACACACACGCGCGCGCACACACGTGCACACGGCACACACGCACACACACACGGCACAGCAAGTCACCCAGGGACCCCATCTCAGGCGCCTCTCAGTTCCTGTGCACGCGTGCGCTCACATTTGCACACACACATGTGTACTGCGCATACATTACCCTTCATCCGGACATACAGCTGGTTGGGGGCCAAGCCTGGCAGGTGACCAGACACAGCCACTGTCCTCGGGAGAGCCTGTGTGTGCAGGGCAGGCCAGCGGAAGCCTGACCTGCGGAGTCCGCCTCCCAAATAGATCTGTCAACAGGTCCCCCCTTGACTCCAGGCTGAGTCTTATGGCCATGCCTGCCGGGGCGGGCGGCCCCCCCCCTCAGCAATGCTTGTTTTGTTCGTGTTTTGGGTGGAACCAGCCTCCATCTTTGAAAAATGGTGATAATCTTTGAGAAACACTGGCTTACGTGATCACCGGGAAGTCTTCCGGAGCTCCCGGTCTACGAGCCTTACTTAGGTGTCACTGAGATGTTACTCATGCGCCCGGAAAGAGCGCCCAGCTGCAGCACCGCGTTATCGGGTTTGGTTGATGCATTACTCAGGCCCTCATCCCCCACCCCCTTTTTGCAAATAACAGAAACCCACCTCAAACAGGCTTGAGCAAAAATAAATCAATTGGTTTAGGTAATTGGGAGGATGGGGAAGAGTGCTGCTGGGAATTTGGACGGCTCTCAGATGACCTCTTCACCTCTCCACGGATGTGTCTGTGTTGGTCTTGTGCTCTTAGACACCTGCCCGATGGCCAGCGACTCAAGAGACAAACCCACAGGCTTTGTTGTCTTAGGAAGAAAAGCTAGGCCACCTCTCTTCCCAGTTTGGGGGGAAAAATGAAGGAGATCTCTGATTGGCTCATTTGGAGTCAATGTGCCAGCCTTGGGCGCAATCACTGTTTCTAGGTGAGGTTCTGTTGTGATTGGTCTACCGTGGGTGTGACCCCACTTCCCAGGCCAGAGTGTCAGTATCTTTCTCAGGGATTCCCCGAGGGAGAAACAGTGGGGAAAGAAACCACAGGTGTTTATTACAGTCGGCCTCTGATGCCCCCCAACTCCCACCTCCCCATCCCCTCCAGGATATGAGCAATAACAGGCAGTGAGTAGCTGGGGATCTTTTCTTGGGATAATTGTCCCAATTTGCAAGCTTCTTGGCAAGCTTCTGTTCTAAGACCTATCCTTCAGGTTCCTAAAAGAGGTATCCTTCCACCCCCCCCCCCCATTTCCAAGGGACATGGGGGACTGTTCTCGGGACACACCCAAGAGGGAACTACATGGAACCCTGTTTACAAATTTAGCTGGAGGCCAACCTCAGCCTCCGAGCCATTTCTACATGTGCACTCCCAGAAATACTGGTGCAGGCTTTGGGTTTCTGCCCCCGCAGGACCCCGCTGTGTCATGAGCTGAGCTTGTCAAGTATCACGTCTTAACTAGTCGGTTCAGGGGTCAGCTGGGCACAGAACTCCCCTGTCCTTTTTTGGATCTCCGTGTGCACTCATTGGCCGAGGCTCCTCATGGCAGCTGTCACTCCTTCGTTGGCCAAGTTGGAAAGTGGTCCACGTTGAACCCACCCTGGAAGCATGAACCTCTCCAGCCCCCAGGATCCTGATGGATGACCTTACGGTTGAGTCAGTTAATGCAGGGAAAGCGTTCAAAGTCTTTGGACGTGGGATCGTGCACCATTTGACCCAGGGGATTTTTAAAAATATAATTTATTGATTGACAAATTGGTTACCGTACAACACCCAGTGCTCATCCCAACAAGTGCCCTCCTCGATATCCACAAATACGGTGCCCCGAGGATTTTTATGGCATTTCTGGGTGAATTGGCTTGGGCAGACTACTAATTGGATTAATAACAATAATGCAAATGGTGGTGGTGGTGGTGGTGATGATGGTGATGATGATAAGGATGATGATTGTATGTTATCATGATGCATGGTAATTATATCAGCAAGTTCTGTCGCTTTTAAGCACTTCCCATGTGCCAGCCACTGCATTTATCCCTGCTTATACAGTGTCATTGAAAACTTAAACACCAGTCTTGTGAGGTTGCCATTTGGCAGACATGGAATCCAAGTTTCCGAGAGGTTGAGGAACTCCTTGAAATTCACACAGCTAGTCCAAAATTCGAATCCACGTGTGTTTGATTCCAAAGCCTCTGCTTTTGACTCCTGTACCATATACTTCAAAGAGCTGAAAACTTGAAAGTACCCAAATGTCCATCAACAGGGGGGTGATGATATCCAAACCATGGAATATTAAGTAGCTGCTTAAAAATCACGTATGCCTGCATGTCCTAATATGGAATGATTTTGAAGACGTGGGCAAGTGAGAAAAAGCAAGTTGAACAAGATAAGTAGAGGATAGCTTCATTTAAGTACTCTCCAACCACACAACAGGACAGTGGAACTTTCCGTGTTCGTGCACGTGGACGGAAACAGGCCAAGGAATATGCACCACCACCTGGGGACTGAGGCTTGCTGTGGGGAGGGAAGTGAATTTGGGTGAAGGCCAAGGGTTCTTTGGCTTGACCTGCATTTCTGGGAATTTTTAGATGAACCTGGCTTCTTGCATTCACTGCATAATTAGAGAGGAAAATTGTGTCCTGGCTAGGAGTTTGTCTGGATTTACATCCTGGCTCTGTCATCATGAGCTGTGTGACCCCAGGCAAGGCACTTATCTCTGTTTCCACATCTGTAACATGAGAATAACTGCCAGGACCACCACCATCAAAACAATAACAACAACTACTACTATAATAATAATAATAATAATACATATACCTGTACATATCTCAGAGGATTAATACGGGGTTTCCCAATCATAGCATTGCTGATATGTTATGCTGGGAGATTCTTTGTTTTCAGGGGCTGTCCTGTCCATCGCTAGATGTTTAGCAGCATCCCTGGCCTCTCCCCGTTAGATGCCGATCGCACCCTCTCACCCCAATCGTGACCATAAACATGTCCCCTGGAGGGTGAAATCACGGCAGTCGAAAACCACTGGGTTCACGTGATGGTAAAATGAGTTAATCCGCGTTAAGCGCTGAGGACAGAGCCCGGCACAGAGTAAGCCCCGGGTAAACGGTAGCTCCCACTAACCCCAGGGAGAGAGAAGGTGAAGGGGACGACTTTCTCCTCCAGCCAAGCGTGGGTGTAGGGGAAGAATGCCGGGCTGGAAGTCGGGCTGCCTGGGGTCTGCACGTGCCCCTGCCCCTCAGTGCTGGGGAACTTCGGGTTCACCTCTTGGGGCCTCAGTTTCCTTATGTGTGGTAAATTCAGGTCCCCAGGGAGCACCTCCCCTCCTCCATCTCTCAGGGCCCCCTACCCTCTTCCCTCCATGGCGGCCTAGGCTGCTGGCTTGGCTGTCTGGGAATCCAGCTCCGACGCGGCCCCCTCCCTCCCTCCACAACTGGGGAGCAGATGCCGTCCGTGAGGCTGTTGCCCAGACGCAGGTGGTACCACCTGCCACAAGTTCCTTGATTCCTGATCGTCCTACAATCACTTTTGGCCCCGAAACAATTTGCTGGGTGAAGGGAGAGAAGGGCCTGGAGGGAAGGGAGGAAGAAAGGGAGGGAGTGGGGGGTGGTTCAGGGTTAAGAGTGGCCTTTGAAGTTTGCAACCATCTTATATAAAACATCCTCAGTCATTCTCCATTTGGATGATGTCAGGAGAGCACATTACCATCCCGAGATCAAATGCAACAGCAAGAATCACTTGTTGCTCACCAGGCTACAGTCATATATCAAGTATTCCAGGCACACGCAATTCGTAACTTTCCCCGAAACAGATTGATATTTTCCTCTTCCACTTTCTGGGAAGAAGACATCTGACTTTGCTTTGAGCAGACTTTGGGAGGCGGTGGGGAAATTAAACCAGCGCCCATTGTCTTTGCACGAGGCTGGCCATGCAGCTGACAGCGCGGTTCTATTTCTTCTCTCCTCTGTGTTCACTTGGCCACAGGCCGTTTGCTCTCGGCGCCACGCCACGGACAAGACCTCCAAGTGATTTGCTCAGGCCCTCGAGAATCTGACCCACGTGATAAATAGAGCAGGAGGAGTTGTTTCCTCGTCTTCTTTTTTAAATCTCCTTCTGCTACGCTCTTGTCTTTTCCTTTTTCTCTTCGGTTGTTTTGGACTCGTGTTGTCTTCCTGGTGTGGAGGTCCTCGAGGCATCAAGTCCCTCCTGAAGAAACCGTAAAACTGGGCGAGGGGACTTTTTCCCCTCGGTTTTGCACCCCAGAGAATTGCAGACCGCAGAACCGAAGGCCCCTTACGTATCACCAGGGGCAACCCTTCCGCTTTACAGACGAGGATATCGAAGCCCAGAGAGGGGAAATGATCAGCTGAGGGCCACACAGCCTTGACCTGGAGCGATGTGCTCACTGTCTCCAGGTGCCACTTTTCTGATTTGTCAACAGGGAGAGCGGTAAGAGCTCCTTTCCCAGAGGTGAGCGTTAGGAAGCCAGGAGAGAACGGAAGGCTTTTCAGCAATTGTGAGGTGCCGTCCCAAAGCGAGGCACTCAGACTCCCGGTTCGGAACGGTCAGGAGCTGAAATGATGAACTGAAGTTGAAACGGACTTCCCTACTTTTGTGGCTCTCTTCCTTATTTTACAAATCTGTGATGACCGCACAGAGCCTGAACTTGGAGCAAAGGCAGGCAGATTTCGGAGACTCCTGGGTGAGCTGGGGTCACCATGTGTCCCGTGCAATGAGGCAGGCGGGAGACTGAGAGGCAGACTGGGGTCCCTGAAACCAGCTTGGGGAAGAGAACAGGCCAGTGCTGACCTCACCCCGAAGGCTTCAGTTATCCGGAGTCTACATCGTCTCCTTACGGAGAGAGATGAGTCATTAGTATCGGTTCCTCTGTGCCCTGTAGTCACACGTGGAGATATGTGCAGCTGCCCTTGAGACAAGCCGAGTGCATAGGAGGCAGTGGGGGCTCAGTGGTTTGCATGTGGTCTGTAGCCAGTGGCCTGGGTTCAAACCCCGGCACGATCAATTACTAGCTGTGTAAACCTGGCTAAGCTTTTCAGCCTCCCTGAGCCTCGGCTTTCAGCACTTAAATGTGTTTTAGAAATCATAACTTAATGCACACATAAAAGAGGACACACAACATGCAAATGGGCGATGAATCCCTGTGAACTCACTTCCCCAAAATACACCTTTCCAATATCTTTGTATCCTGGATGGCTCTCTTTCCTTCAGTCCCCTCCTTCCACCACAGAAATAACCATGATCCTGAAAAGTGTCTACGGTTCCATTACTTAAAAATGAAAACCAATTTTTTTATTATTTACGTATGTACCGCTAAGTAACATAGAGCTTATTTTTGCTTGTGTGTGTGTGTGTGTGCGTGTGTTTTCTTTTGAGCTTTAGAAAGGTTGTATCACACTCTTGGAGGTCTGTGGGACTTGCTTTTTTTCCTACTTGAAATTATATTTTTAAGATTCATCCTTGGTATTGGGTGAGGCTGTGTTTCATCCATTGTCTTTGCTAGACACTATCCTATGGTCTGAATATAAAATAGAGCACAATTTATTTATCCAGTTTCCTTCTGATGGGCATTTGAGTCTTATCCAGTTTTGTTGTGTTTTTTAAACAACTGTTAACACTGCTTCTATGAACATTTTAGTGTGGGTCTTCTACTGCACCGTGTGTAAGTTTCTATTGGACGGATCTATAGAAGTGGGATTGCTGGGTCTTAGGGAGTAGAGATTTCAACTTTATGGGATGGCACCAAACGATTTTTCAGAATGTTTGGACCCAAAGCCTCCATTTTCCATTTGTAATGTAGACGCCGACCTCACAGGGCTGATGCCAGAATTGAATGCATGCAGAACACATCGAACATTTAGCTCGGTGCCCGGGCATGGCTAGATGATGCCCGGACACGGTATGTTTGACTGGCCAGCTCCGTTCTCCAGCGGAGCTTGGAAAGTCCTTCTCCATCTTCAAGAGGCCGGTTTTCTGCTACTCAATCTGAACACTTTACTGAAGTGTGTCCTGTGACTCTCACTTTAGGGCTTAAAAACCACAGGTTTTCTTTAAAAAAAAAAAAATGTTTATGTATTTATTTTGAGAGAGAGAGAGAGTGCCAGCTGGGGAGGGGCAGCGGGAGGGAGAAAGAGAATCTCAGGCAGGCTCCGTGCTGTCAGCGCAGAGCCCGATGTAAGGCTCAATCCCACGGGGCCGCGAGATCGTGACCTGAGCTGAAATCCCGAGTCGGACGCTTAACCGACTGAGCCACCCAGGCGTCCCTCACAGTTTTTTCTGTCCACCCAGCATCCTGATGGACTCTGCTACTGCCCAGTGTTTATCATACGGGGGACTCTCTCTCTCTCTTTCTCACTGTGCCTCAGTTAGAACAGCCCCTGAAGGTAACTTCCAGAAGACCAGTGTTTCTCAAATTTCAATGGCGATCTTGCAAAAATGTAGATCGTGGTTCGGCATGTGTGGGGCAGCTTAGAGATTCTGTTAGCAGTTAGGAGACTGCTCCCAATGCAGGTTGACACTGCTGGTCACGGGCAGTGGGTGGGAAAGAGTGATACCCCAGCTGAGCCCCGGTGGAGGGCCCGGCTTAGCCAGGCTACGGCACAATGAGACGCAGCCCGGCCAGGGAACAGGGCCTTGCAGAGGAGCAGCCTGCGAGGTGGTAAAACTCGCTCCATTGTGTGAGTCTGGCTGTTCTCCAGGAACTCTCTCTAGGACTTATAAAGAGTTGCTCACGGGCACCTGGGTGGCTCAGTCGGTTGGGCTTCCGACTTTGGCTCAGGTTGTGATCTCGCGGTTCGTGAGTTCGAGCCCCGTGTCGGGCTCTGTGCTGACAGCTCGGAGCCTGGAGCTGCTTCGGATTCTGTGTCTCCCCCTCTCTCTGCCCCTCCCCGACTCATGCTCTGTCTCTGTCTCTCTCAAAAATAAATAAATATTAAAAAAAAAAAAAAAGAGTTGCTCAGGTCTTATGAGGGCACCAACTGAATTGGGTGGCCCCAACTGCCTGGCCTGGTCCCTACCAGGACGTTCCGAAGAAAAATGTAGGGAAGCAGCTTCCCATTGCTGGGGTCAGGACTCTGGTTTTGGGTTAGATTCCCATTTTTCTCATCCATTTTATCTTGGAGCCCAGGACAGCGCTGACCTGACTCAGCTTCAACGCCCGTCTCCAGCCCCAAAGTTCCAAAGCCGACCGGCAGTGTATGGCTGCAGAAGAGACCTTTTCCTCTTACCCCAAAGCCACCCCCTACCCTGTCCTGTCTCTAGGTAAAAATAATGACTTTGTTTTTCAAAGCCAAGAACTTCTTGGGCTATGCCAAGCACAGGGCATGTCTTCAGAACGTACGTGTGACAAAACTCGTGTTCTCCCGTGAGCTCAGCGTGTTGGGCTTTGGGAGATTTAATTATTATTCTTTTCTTTTCTTTTTAAGCGGCGGCTGATGCTTTTCCCTCCTCTCTGTCTCTGCCGTTGACAGCCCGACACCCAGGACAGCGTGCAAACCCAGTTATCCACAGCTGTTGCCAAGGATATTTATCACTTTTCAGCCCTCCACGTGACTCCTAGATGAGACACCCAAATGCACCTAAATGGGGCCCTTTTCGCTTCCCGTTTGAAGTAAAAATTTCCAAGCAACATCTGACATCAGGATAACGATGACTCAGACTTTCCGACACTTAAGCCCAGATCCACATGTCCAAACATCTAAGATGATGCTACGTGGTATATGAGTTCTGCCCCTGACTCCAACAGGCTGTTCACCTTGTGGCATCTCCGAGGTCCTTCCACGGTGCCGTGGTTCTGGAGGTCTCGCTTACGTGCCGCCTCAGTATGGAGTCGTGGAAGGGACGTTAAACTAGACTGGAAGAGTGCAGATCTAACCCAGAAATGCCAGCAAGGGGTTGCACTGTCCCAGGCACTCTCCCGGCCTCTCGGCATTGCGGTCCGGTCATTTGAGAAATAGTCAGCAGTTTCCAAGCATTTTGTAAAACAAAGATCCCTTTGGCCAAACCAAATCTTAAATGGAGCCCCAGTGTAGGGCGGATAAATGCCGCGCTGATTTGGTTGAGGCAGGACTGGAGCCCCAGAGTCCTACTCGCTCTCCTCCTTCCCGGTGCAAGAAGCCCGAAGGTCACTCTAGGAAGCTTTAGGGCTCCATGGAACACAGTTGGAAAACCACTGAACTAGGTAAGCCCACAAAGTGCTTTTACCGCGGATGGTCTCTGAAGCGGTGGTGAGATGGCCGGGCTGGGGATGTGGAGAGTTTGGGGCTGAATTGTGTCCCTCCAAAGTTCATATGCTGAAGTCCTATCTCTCAGGGCCCCAGAATGTGACTGTTTGGAGAGAGGGCCTTTAAGAGATGATGAAGTTAAAAACAAATTTTTTTAATGTTTATTTATTTTTGAGACAGAGAGAGGCAGAGCATGAGCAGAGGAGGGGACAGAGAGAGAGAGACGGAGACACAGAATCCGAAGCAGGCTCCGGGCTCCGAGCTGTCAGCGCAGAGCCCGACGCGGGGCTTGAACTCACGAGCTGTGAGATTGTGACCTGAGCTGAAGTCGGACGCCCAACCGACCGAGCCACCCAGGTGCCCCAAGAGATAACTAAGTTAAAATGAGATCACTAGGGCGGGCCTGATTCCCATATGACTGGTGTCCTACGAAGAGGAGATTAGGACACAGACACACACAGAGGGAAGACCAGGAGAGGACACGGCGGGGAAGGACCGCCACCTAGAAACCAAGGAGAGAGGCTTCAGAAGAAATCAAACCTGCCAAGACCTTGCTCTCGGACTTCTAACCTCCTTGACTAGGAGAAAATAAATTGCTGTTTAAGCCACCCAGTCTGTGGCACTTTGTCAAGGCTACCCTATGAACTAATATCATAAAAGCGGAGGGGAACAGTTTCCCCTACGGGTCACCATTGTAAGGAATCCTACTTATTCCACTCTAAGATGACGAGGAAACATCGTGTATCTCCTCTCAGAGAGTCTGAGTCCATGTTCTTCACAGAAGAGACGCACCTGTGGTCTCCCAGGGACTACGTCCCTGTCTTTGGGAGGATAAGTGGCCTGTTCTTGAGTCTGGCCATGTCTAGTTGGGGGGGGGGGTCTGAGTTCTGTAGGCATCCACAGGAATGGTGATGCTGGGCTTGGTGACCGGAACGTCAGGAAGACCTCCCTCTGGCTTCTGGTCTGTCAAAGTCTGGCCACGGGAACATTGAAGGCCTGCTGGGAATATAACCCAGGTTTTATTTTTTTCCTGAACAAACTGTGCTAACCTAGTGCCCAGGGTAATAATAGTTATCGGTGGTGGAGGTGTGTGAAACTAGCAATTTTCACTTCGCAGGAATTTGTCTGGGAAAATCACAGTTTTTCACCTTTGGAAACTGCCATTTGGTTTCATGAAAACTTCTAGGTGAAAAGAAATGTAAGAGAATATTTTCCAGTTTTCGTGAACTGGATTTTGGCAGAGGTGGGAACTCTCGTCAATCTCAATGGCAAGAGGGTCCACCGTGGCATAGGACTGCAAAACAAGTAGGTGGAAAACGAAAGGGGTGTGGAGAGGCCATGCGGTGCCCTTAATGTCCTTCCAAGGGCCTCTCTGGAGAAGGGGCAAGGCACGGCTGACACCAAGCTCTGGAAAAGCAAAGAGGGACGTAGGACTTTGGGACAAATCACTGTGTTCTTTGGCATCTTGCCATGGGGTGTGAGGGAAAGGGGTAAGCTTATTTATCATCTCGTTTATGAAGGTCTCTTACCTTCCAATCTCAGCGATGGGCTGTGTTTATGTGGCTCATGCCTCCTTGGGGTTTTAATCATGTGGGGTTCATTCATTCAGCCACCTACGTAGTTTCCCTTGTACATCACATGCGTGTGGTCACAACAGACATTGCACAGGTGTGTGTGTGTGTGTGTGTGTGTGTGTATGTGTGTGTTTTGGAGGTGGGAGGAAGATGGTAAAGTGGAGACAAGGCATACAGCAGTAGAATAAGACGTCACATCTTTATACGTGAGGAACTGGAAGTCTGTTGGAAGAGACAGAATTCTTGCTCAGGAAATAGCTGGAAAAGAGTGGTGAGGCAGGCAAAGATACAGGACTAAACAAATGATGCCTGCTGAATTGGACAATATGACCCAAGAGCCTTAACATTGTAATTGCTCTTCTGAGAAACTATCCTAAGGAAACAGTCAGAAATGCAGTCAAGGACATTAAGATCTTCTCTGTGCACTTATTTACGAATAGTACGATGGTATCCAACTTGGGTATCAGCCTAAGCTGTAACAGTGAGTGGGATTGGTTCAATCAATGATGATCCAGCCCAGAGGTTGGTAAACTATGGCCCTTGGACCAATCTCGCTCTCCCTCCATCAGGTTTTTTCTTTTAATCTTTTCTTAAAATTTTTAATGTTTATTTTTGAGAGAGAGAGAGAGAGAGAGAGAGAGAGAGAGAGAGAACGCACAAGCGGGGGAGGAGCAGAGAGAGAGGGAGGCACGGAATCCGAAACAGGCTCCAGGCTCTGAGCCATCAGCACAGAGCCCGATGCAGGGCTCGAACTCACAAACCGTGAGATCGTGATCCGAGCCGAAGCTGGACACTCAACCGAATGAGCCACCCGGGCACCCCACTCTCCATCAGGTTTTGTAAATAAAGTTTTATTGGCACACAGTCATGACCATTCCATTATGTATTGTCTGGGACTGCTTTGGCACCCTAATGGCAGAGTTGAGTAGTTGCCACAGGGACCACATAACCTGCAAAGCCTAAAATATTACTCTTTGGCCCTTTCATAAAACATCTTCTGACTCCTGGTCGAGCCATATGAGAACATGCCAGGCAAGCATCAACAATGAATAAAGACTTTTTTATTGTCACGCATATGTCATGATGTTAAGTAAAAAGAAAGTACGTGATTTTTTGATATTAATAACAGTAACTAACATTTGTTAAGTGCACATGAAGTTCTCAGTACTGTTAAAATGGTGTTTACAAGGACTTCTTAATAACAGGAGAAAACGCTTATGGTATAATACCAAGGCCCCCAAAAAAGCAGGATGTAAAATGTTGATATCAGTAATAATTATATTTATTAAGCACATGTTAAACTCCAGGCACTGGGCTCATCACTTTACATATCATTTCACGGAGCCTTCAAAAATGCCACTTGGAAGTTACTGTTATTTACAAATCAAGTACCGAGATACACAGAGCTTAAGTGGTTTACTTTAGGGACCTACCTGGTTAGCGAAGGAGCCCGAATTCAAAGACAGGGAGTGTGCCTCTACACAGAGAAAGGCCTAGAAGGAAATGGGGCAAATGTTAGCATGTGTATGTGTGCGGTGGGAGGAGAGCTGTAGAGCTGAGGTTGTCTTTGGCTGGACGTCGCCGAGAACTTGGAAAATATCAGCTCGGGCACGTGCGGTGTTGCTTTCTCCCATAAGCAGGAAATCCGGGGGAGGCAGCCAGTGCTGCATCGGAGGCTCTCTGACCCCACGAGCCACCTGCATTCGACCAGCCTGAGCATGTGAGTTTTGTCCTCAGGCTTGTCACTGGTTTGTCCGGGTGACGAGCAGGTGGGTCATTTTCTGCATTCAAGGCAGAAAGAGGGCTCGGGGCAAGGGGCCAAAAGTGTAAGTTGACTGAGAGGTCCCTTTATAGAAGGGCTTTCCTCTAACTTCCCAATAGTAGCTTTCGCTTCTGCCTCATTGACCGGAGTGCGGTCACATGATTATCCACAGTGGCAAAGAAGGCTGGGAACTGGTTTTCCAGCCAGGCACACTGCAACCCTGAACAAAATTGGGATTTTGTGAGTAAGGAAAAAGGCGAGTGTGGATAACTGGGAGTCAGCTTCCAGTGTCAGCCACATGGGTGGATGGTCGCCAATTTTCCTGTATTCTTTCTGGAATTTTCCTGGATAAATCTTGCTGAGTCTGAAGGCAGGGGGACGGAGGAGAGGTGGGGAGAGAAAGTGACGGGACAGACATGGTGTCTTAGTCCACTTGGGCTGCTACAACCCCATACGATAGACCGAGTGGATTATAAACTAAAGAAATCTATTTCTCACAGTTCTGGAGGCTGGGAAGTTCACGATCAAGTGCTGGCAGATTTGATGCGTGGTGAGACCTTCCTGATTCATGGACAGCTGACTTCCCCCGGGGTCTGCTCATGGCAGAAGGCATGAAAGAGGTCTCTGGAGTCGCTTCCTATAAGGACAGTAATCCCATGATAAATAAAGACTGTGCCCTTGTGACCTCACCAACTTTCAAAGGCCCTATTTCCAAATACCGTCTCATTGGGGGTTAGGTTTCACCGCAAGAATTTGGGGGGGGGGCATACACATTCAATCTATAGCAAGTAAGGAAATCAGGGGAAGCTTCTCAAGGAGACATATTTTATGGGGTGACTGGTGAAGTTGGGAACCTCCAGCTTCCTTTGTTATGCAGGAGAGCCTTGAGTTTTGGGGGATTATAAGAGAAGTCCCTAGACAGTCTGTTTGATCAGCTTCTCCCACCTTGGGTAGAAATGCGGACCCCTGGGGGGGATCAACCCTGCCTTTCCCCCCTACCCCTCCCACCCCCACCCTGCACAGGCCTGTGGCGGGGGGGGGGGCATAGCACATGGACTCAGAAGCCATTGAGACCCACTGATAAGGCCAGGAGGCCAGGAGTCCGGTCGGGCCAAGGGGACTTTGGAAACTATAGTGGGTAGAATTTCACATGCATTAAACGATGTCGACTGCACGAGTTCAGTGAGGGGTCCTTCAGTGGAAGCTTCTGGATTTGAGCCAACCCTAGATCCTTGTTTCGCATGTGCACCTTCAAGACTATATCCCAGCCCCTTCCTTCCAGATGTCGGCCCCCTGTGCCCTACAGACCTTTCTGCCCTGAGGTGTAAATGGCTGTTATCAGATACTTTCCTGAAAGCAGGTGCTGAGAGTTTAAAGGCGGGGACTGAGGAGGGAGATCCCAGAGGTTGCTGGCGCTGTGAGGGGGGTGAGAAACCTGGCTCTGACACTTTCCAGCTCTGACTCAGTATTCCCACCTGTCAAATGGGAATATAGTTAAAGAAAGACCAGAGGTGGAGAGCCTGGCAGACAGCCTGATAACAGTAGGGGCTAAATATGTCTGCTCCTTTGTTCCCTTCCATCCTTTGCCTGAAGGGAGCGAGAGTGAGGGCCTGCA